GTCCCCGAATTCCAGAGAGCTTTTGGAGTCCCGGGAGGGTGAGTTGTTCGTGACAACTTCTAGGCCCAGGATCTTACACGGGGAGTAAACAGACACCCAGCGGACCACCCGACTGAGCAGAAGCGACCAGGGCCTCACCCCCCAGTGCTAGGAACCTTGAGAAGGGGTGGAAGAGATGAATGACAGGCAGTATGAAAAAATATCTTCAAAGGTTTTTTTGTTTTGTTTTGTTTTATCATCTTCCTCAGAAAGCTTAATGCTTCAATATGCGGGAAACGGGTGAATTGTTGTAGTGAAGGTTTTGTATTATTCTTATTCAGCAGGGAGCCCTGATGGGGAAGCTGGCCTTTAAAAGAACACATCCCAAAGGCACGCCACCCTGGGCCCCAGACCGAGGACTGAGCACTCATTCTGAGGACGGTGTGGGGTGCGAGCTAACACCCCAGTGCCTCCAGGATCTGCTGCCCCACCCGCACTGCCGGGCGCAGCAGGTCCTGCGTTTGTGAAGAACCACCAAGGCACCACTGGCTCGATGGCCCGAGAGAACAGCTGAAGGAAACAGATAAGAACCCTAAGTGTTCCTCAATGTTTGCAAGAAAACAAACTCCAGGCCCCACCCTCCGACTGCTGGGGCCTTCAGTTTGGGTGCTGCCAGGAAGCTATGGCTCAATGGCTGTGCCAGTAAGCAGGGCAGACGCCTAATGCAATTCCAGCGCAGTCACACAGCTCCGCTCGCTCCTTCGGTTGAAGCATTGCCTAATCCAGTAGCAGTCATATGAGCTTGAAGAAGGAAATGGCTGCCTCACTCCCGAGCTTCCGTATTTTTAGAAAGAACGGAGCACTTGTTATGACCCTGCTCCTCACGCATCGACCATGATCTTGTGGTGAGGGTTCGGTTCTATGTCCACTGGATGGTACCTGTGTGGCGGTAGGATAGGGGTGGAGTCCAGCCTCTCAATCGATCAGAGTCCGGTGACGCCTCCTTGGGGGGGATGGCCTTTTAGAAGAGAGGCACCAGGGACTTCTCGCTTTTGCCACGTTTTGTCTTCCTGCTCGCTGCATGGCATCTGGCTCTGGAGCTGCCGGCCCATGTGCTGCAGGCTGTTGGCACCCTGCCATGCTCCTGCCACCGTGGGCCTGCGAGCTCCCCGATTCCTGCTTCCTCGGCTGGGAGCTGGGTGAGTCTGAAGAGGGTTTTGGCGACCATTGGACCCACGGACTTGAGTTGGACCGGGCTGGGCTGCCTTCTTGATTTAAAAGTTTTGTTGGTATCAAGTTCTTTCTTCTACGTACGAGTGTCACTGGTTTGGTTTCTCTAGAAAGCTCAGCCTAACACACTTGTTATGTGACCCTTCACCTGTATGACGAGAGAAAAAAGCGCTATCCCACTCTCACTAAGCACGTCTGACAGTAATGATCACCAGGGATGTGTCCGCTTGACCCCATCTTAAGTCTCAGTTCTGAAATGATGTAGCTGTCCTCCATTTCTGCAGAATGGCCTGGTCTTTTCGACAAACACATCGAGAAGTGACGAGTGAGTGTCTTTCTAAGGCCTGCCAGGTCTCCACCATTGAGTAAGGGGCCAAGGGCATTCACCTGCTCTGGCTTCAGGCCAGGCACGCCAGGCCGATGCCTCATTCTCCCTGG